CTCCCTGGGAGACAAGCGGAGCCTGAGTGGGGAGATTCTTTCTCTCGGGACCACGGCCTCTGCTAGTCACCAAGATAAGAGTATCTTGGTCTCTCTGGCTGAGGCCACAGGGCTGGAGCCTGGAGGGCTCGGGATGGGCTCCCTCTGGCCTTTCCCCGTTTTGGTCAGCCCGAGGCCTCTCCAGCCTCCCTCTGCCCACCAGGGACAAGTCTGGGCCTCGGGGCCGAGGATGACGTGAGGCGGGGATGGGAGATGCTCTGGCTTTTTCCATCCCTCTGGCAGGTGAGTCCCCTCTGGCTGCCCCACCTGTGGCCTCTTCACTCCCATTTCAGCCCAAAGGGCCCCTGGGGACAGGTTCTGAACTGACCATGAGGACACAAAGGGCAGGGCTGGGGCTCCTCACCTGAGACCCTGAGCTCCAGGGGGTCACTGGGGTGTGACAGCAGGTAGGGGGAGGTGCTGTGTGAACCATAGCACCTGTAGGTCCCCCCATGGCCTGAGGTCACAGCACTGATGGTGAAGTTGGCCTGAGAGCGTGCAAACCTGCCCTGCAGACGAAGGTGCTGGGGAGGGTCCAGTGACCCCTCCCTGTGCAGGTGGAAGGTATCGAACCGGGTCTCAGATGCACACTGCAGGGTCACATCAGCTCCCCAGGGCACTGAGGGTCCTGGCTGGGCTGAGAGGGAGGGTTTCGGGTACAGTCCTGGGGGGAGGAAGGTTGTGATGTGTAGAGAGTGACCCCCTCCCTCATGCCCCTGACCCTGAGCTGAGGGACCCTGTCCTGAGGCTGTCTGTGACCCCCTCTCAGGCCTCTCAGCCCCTGGGGGGGTGTCTTTTATCTCCATGCCCCTCCCTCCCCCTTTCTCCCTCCCTCCCCCTAGGCCTCTGCCCATCTGAGCCTCTGCCCCAGGACCCTCTCCTGGACCCCATCACCAAGGGGACCCTGGGCCCAGAGCCCTGGGCACACAGTCAGGACAGGGGCAGGGCTGGGCTCCTCACCTGCGACCAGGATGTCCAGGGGGGCGCTGGGGGCCGACCACACGTGGGAGAGGTTGTGTCCACTGTAGCATCTGTACTGGCCCCCGTGTTCTCGGGTCACAGGGCCCAGAGGGAAGCTGGGGCTGTGCTGCCCATCAAGACGCTGGGGGGCGGTGAGCCTCTGCACCTTGGTCAGAGCAAATCTGTCAAAGCCGCCGTCCGAGCGACACTGGAGGGTCAGGCTGTCTCCAGGCAGCACCAGGGAGCCTGGCTGGGCCAAGAGGGAGGGCTCCCTGTGCACTCCTGGGGAGAAGGGGACGGTGGCACTCAGGGGACACCCCCGCGTGGCCCACTGTGGCTGCAGTGAGAGTTCTCCCCGGTCACTCCCTAAACCTCCCGCCTGTGGTTCTGTCCCCAAGAGCCCAGTGTCACTGACCCCCGTGACCTCAGGGCTCCACTGGGCACACAGCTCAGGTGAGTGATTTTGGGCCCAGGAAACAGATGGGGTTGCCCAGGGGCCTGTCCCTCACCTGTGACCTCGATGTGCAGAGGGTCACTGGGCTCTGACCACACGTAGGGGTAAGACCTGGAGGAACCATAGCACCTGTAGGTCCCCCCGTGGGAGGCGCTCACGGGGCCCACAGCGAAGAGAGCCCACGACCCCCTGGCAGAGACCCTCGGTTCCGATTCCATGTGTCTGGGCGGGTCAGCTCCTCCCTCCTTCAGCAGGTGGAAAGTGCCCGATGTGGACTGTGAGCTGCAGGAGAGGGACACGTTCCCCCCTGTGGCCACCACAGGGCTCGGGCGGACTGAGAAGGAGGGTGCACGGTACAGTCCTGGGGAGGACAAGGCTCCGTGTTAAAGGGGGGCGGTCACCCCACATGCCCCAGCTGTGGCCTGTGGGGTGAGGTCCCCCTGAGGCCACCCTCCCTTCCCTGTGCCTGTGGGAGCCGAGTGGGGAGGGGCCCGGGCTCTCCCTTACCTGTCACCACCAGGGTCAGGGGGTCACTCCTCTCCGACCACATGGCCCCTGTGCTGTAATAGGCACACTGGTAAATCCCTGCATGGTATGAGTGCGTGGGTTCAATGAGGAAGCCGGTCTTGTTTCTGGGGTCCTGTGGGGTGCTGGTCAGCCAGGGCTCAGCGCCCCTCTCTTTATACAGAGCGTAGACAGCAGGCTTCGGAGACCCCTGGCACCAGATGGTCACAGGGCTCCCCCTGGTGACGATGGGGCCTGGGTCGGCCCGGATGGAGGGTTTGGGGAGGTCTTCTGAAAAGGAATCAGACCTGAAATGTCAGGAGCCCCTCTTTCCCTCAAAACATCATGAATGAGCCAGTGATGCCATTTAATGAGCACCTACTGTGTGCGAGGCACATGCTGGGTCCTCCTTCATCTCTAACCTCACAGCCCTGGTGCACCAGGGAGTGCTGGCCCCACCCCCCCTTCACTGAGGCTCAGAGAGGTTAGTCACCTGGCCCAGGTCACCCAGCAGGGACGGGGCAGGGCTGGGCTGGAACCCGGGCTGTGGGTTCCCTGGGCTGTCCTCATGCTCCCCCAGGGGGACACCAGCTCTGTGCTCTGGGCCCCTCATCTGCAGGGGCCTGTTCCTGTCCCACCAGGAGCTGACGGTCCGTCCTTATGACCCTCCCCCAGCACAGCA